GATAAACTCTACCAAATATCTCCTGCAATGCAGCTGATCATCTACTGGGACACCAATCTAACCTCCCCTCACTGTGTCCTGAATAAATCCAAAAATTTACAGCTTCTGTACATTTTGGGTCCTCTGGGCTGCTCCGAAGCCACAGTGTTTCTCAGCTGTCCAGACAACCCACACTAGGGAGCAATCTTTCCCCATTTTAGGCTGGCACTTGCAATTTAAACACATCTGTGTGCACCAGGGATAGGCTGTAAGGTTGCAAGCAAACACACACTTTTCAGGATGTCTCAGTTAGCAGATTTCATTTCATTTTAGAAGCCTGCTTGTCAGCACAGCTTTTATGAACTTTGTTATTTAATTAGTGAGTTACTTCAACATAAATACTCCTCTCTGTGCACTATGCGACTACAAGATAGCTGTGCACAGGATGAAAATCTGCAGAATGGAAACTGAAAACCACAATGGAACCAATCCAGTTCACTCACTGCAAGTTAATAAGACATACCTGGCTGCAAGGCTTGCATTCACAGGAAGGGCCATAAGAAAAGGATAGAAACCACCCACAATAGCCCCTATTAATCCTCCTCTGACCACAGCACAGGCCTCACAGTTTAGGTCACCTGCACACCAAAACAAAACATTTCATTGTCAGTATCCACAATATCCACATAGTTCCTGAACATCACCCTTAAGCTGCACACAACTGTGTGGGAAGTGGCACTTGGCAGAAATAGCCATGCTGAGCAGGCATTCAGGAAATTAAAAGGAAAAAAAAAACTCTTATTTGCAAAAAGTGAACATCATTCCCATTCATAACAGATTTATTGCTCTGTAATTGACTTTCAAATAAAATAATTTCAATGGCAGAAACTCAACTGCTTGTTGAAGTTCAAATATGAATTTTACATGAATTCTTGGGTGAAAGATGCTAGAAGCATCAGTGCACATCAAGAAACATCCTAAAAGTGCACATCACAGAAGAAAAATGAATTTTAATACACACACACGTGTGTATACATATATATACACATGTGTTTATATATATATATATAAATGCAGAAAGATACCTATATATATATATATAAATGCAGAAAGATACCTATATATATATATATAAAAAAAAAAACATGCAGGTATCTTCCTTCCCACGTACTGCAGCCCGATACACTAGATGAACTGCTGTGGTCTTGAAAACCTTGCCTTGCAAGGTACAGTTTGAAGAACAGTTTAAGCTCACTGCTACTCAAAGAGGAAGATATCCTCTAGTGTTACATCATATAGAGAAAGAAAGACCTTTAAATAACAATGAATAATGAAATTTTACCTAAAAATAAAGGCTGACGCACAAAAACATCATAAACTACTGCTGTTGACATAAATGGTAGAACAGCCATTGGCAAGGAAGACACAAACGCTGCTCTTGTAATGTTCAGGGTGCGCCTGAAGAAGTTATTTGCTGTTAAGCCACATAAGCTTGAATTGGCTGCAAGGACGTAGGATCCATGATTAACAAGGTTCCTGGAAAAAAAAAATGTAATTGAGAACAATAAAAAACAGAGTTTAGTTTAGTCAATGCTATAATTTATTTCCGAATATTTTACATTAAGAGGTAACAGATGCGACTCTCTTGCAGATCCAGAAATGGAGACTAGCCACTTTCAAAAGCAACCAATACAGCATCCTTTGCTGTATGCCTGACTTATACAAGCCTTATACAAGACATTAATATCTCTCACTTTACAATGCTGCCCAATCTTATTCTTCCATTTTCACAAATTTAAAATTCACAGAATGGGGACAGGCATGCAATTAACTGGAAGGCACTCCAATTTTGAAGCTCTGCCATTATGTTCAAAGTGTGTTCTCCAAATATGTCATAAGTTGGATTTATGCTAAAGCCCTGCTGTCAATAAAATGCTTAATCGGTAGGAAAACGTACCCTAGGCCGAATGTAACATTTATTTGCAAATCAAATGTGACAATCTCTAAAGCATTCCTCAATTAAAATATATGGGTTTTAAATCCACTTATTTAAAACATTCTTTCACACTCTAATGCTTGAAGTAATATTAATCATTGACAAACTACACAAAAAAAATACTTCAGAGATGTAGCTGCTTATTTTGCAAAAGCCTAAACATTAAAAGCATCTGACATCAATGGTACCAATTACCTCCTAATCTGTGCAGGAAAAGTTTAATTAAATTTTAATTCTTCATACATACTAGAGTTTCAGACATGAAAATAAGCTACTAACAATTATGACACTATATAACAAAATAACTTGGCTAGTCAAACATCTCTCTTCCTCTTATTTAGGAGTCTTTTTTAATATTAAAAGGCCTCTCTGCTTTTAGATCAGTGTCTTCCCAGCATTGGATTCCATTCACTGAATGTCCCCCAGAGCAGTTCCTGCAACCCTGCCATTTTATTCTCATGGCACGTTTCCTGTTACAGGCTACATGTACACATGCATTCCACTGGTGGAGGACTGAGACTAACATTTCAGAGTATATCTGAGAATCCAAAATAGAGCACACTGATGCATTCAGAACCAGCAGAACATCAGTCTTACTGACCTGTAAAACCACTGTAACAACAAAAAGAAAAAAAAAAAAAAGAAAAAAAAAAAAGTGAGGGGGCCCCTTTTTGGTCCCCCCCCCTCTTTTTTTTTTTTTTTTTTTGTAACTTTTAAGATACAAAGACGCTCCCAAATCCCCACTGAGGTGTCTGCCCGGCAGCTCTGGGGAAGAAGTGTTATGAGTGACATGGTTTAACAGTCATGATGTTGAAGGGCTTATGATTGAATTTGACAATCTTAAAGGTCTTTTCCAACCATAATGATCCGATGAAGACCAAAAAACTAGCAGGGCCTGCAGAGAGCAGCATCGCCAACAGTAACATGGAGCAAACCCCTGGCATTCTGCTCTTCTCCACCTATATGGGGAGGCCTTTTGCTACTATCTGTAGTTGCTTATCCAGCAGTTTGGTCCAATTAAAATGAAAGCTCCCTACAACATGATGCAGATGCGCAGCCAGCTCCTTACAGAACCAGGTTCTTGATTTTCTTATTCTCCTTTATTTTACAAGCACTTACTGATCCTCTTTGGGAAGCCCCTCAAACAACTTGGTCATAATTTCCTCATGCTTTAATTTTCTCAAGTGCAGGAGGCTCTGAGGAGAGCCTGGCTCCAGGAATTCTCTGCCTGCCATCTTGAAGTCCTGGATCGTAAGGAAAGAAACAAAAAAAGAAAAAAACAATAAAAACAGCGCAGGAACGTTACAAAGGTTCCACAGCCGAAATCAAACAGACGTTTGTATTCAAGGGACGTTACTCAGTCCTAACGCTCTCCTTTATTTTCAAGGTAACATTTGCGGCTGTAGAGGTCACGCCCTCGCCGCGAAGCCTCCAAAACAGCATTTCGTG